CTAGGTATCCGGCTCAAAGCCATAATTATCTCTTTCATGCTCTGTTACATCTTTGTCTTTGGAATGACTGCTATTTCTCGCACTTGAACGACGATGAGAGTGTCTTACCAAAAAATTAATGGCGTTATTTTCATCTTGCATCTTCGGGGAAGAGATAGCATCTTCAATTGCGATGCCATGTATAACCTTAGGGTGGGTACCGCGGTGACTCTGCAGGGAAATGGGATCTGGCTGAGAGGTAGAGAGAGTACTGTTCCCCTTATCTGTTTTCAGTATTACTCCATTTTCTTCTCCGTTACTTATATTAGTTTGGAAGGCGTGTTCCTCTTGAGCAGATTGCTTCGCATGACATGTTTTTGGTGAAGTGACCACGTGCACGGCAGTCAGCGGTGGGCTTGGACTATTGTAATCGGGGTAGGGTTCCGGCCCTATGAGGGCCAGCAGGACTGGCATGAGGACAAGGCCGTGAAAAAGTCCAAAAATAGCAACACCAATGAATATTTTAAAGAAAGAGATAAAGAGGTGGGAGTCAGAAGGGCATAACATGACAAAGGCTAACAGTGTTGAGAAGCCTCCGTGCAACACTGCAGGTCCAACGCCTTCTACTGCTGCTTGCACACGTTCACGCCTGCTCCCAGTCACCACTAAGAAAGCATGTGCAACATGTGCAGCATAATCCACACACAAGCCTATGGCAAGTACTAATGCTATACAGGTGACGGTATCTATGGTGAGGCCCCATACGTGCATAAGCGCCGCCACCTCAGTCAAAGTCGCCAGAACACACAGGAATACCAAGAATGCTGCTCTTGGGGCTGCCAGCAGTAGGAGAGTCATTATCCCTACCACGCAGGCAACCAAACCCAGGTTCCGCCACAACTCTGATCCAACAGCAGCGTCTGTTTCCCACTGGCTGTACACGTGAGCCCACACTGCATGATATCCTGAGATATTAGCCGAGGATACGATCTCTCTCACTTGATTCATGGCAGCTTGCTGGTCGGCTCGATTTTCTAACCTTCCATACTGAAAGTTAATTTTGAAGATAGAGAAAGGTGGTGCAGGATCCTCACAAGTCAGCTCATCTTCAAACAGGAAGTTGTTATTAAACTGTGCACCACTTTTAGACTGAAGAAATATTCCAAGTGCATCGTGTAAAACTTCCTCAGTCAGTGTAACATTGTAGTAATCAACACTTTCCATGAGATAGACATCTAGTACACTGTACCAAGCATCAACACGCGTAATGTACGATGAGGTGCGCAGGTCAGCTGCAAGATCGCGAAGTGCAGGGAGTTCCCTAGGTAAACTTACATTGGAGAAATAGACAGTGCCAAGTTCCCCATCCCTTGGAAAGTGCCTGTCCATGGCCTGGAACCAGTGGTACAGATACGATGTGCGAGGGAGAAACCAGATGGGGCTGAATTCTTGGCGCAGGCTGACAGCGCCCCATATTCCAGCTCCTATCATGGAAGCAGCAGTTACCAGTACAGTTGCTTGCATCCATGGCAGCACTATGACATTAGCATAGGCCTTCATGACTTTACCCAGAAATGTGGTGTGTTTTCGTTTTTCTGGGGTTTTCTTTTTTGGGTCTTCATCCTTCTTCTCTCTGTATATCTGGTCAACTGTGAGAGCTGCCACGAATACTGTTGCTTGTAAAATGTACACTGCCATCACCCCAACAGCAGCATAAACACAAAACCAGCGTAAGGCAGGAACCTTTGTGGTCGCGCCCACCAAAAATGCTACAGCGTCAGAAAGAGAAGTGACAGTAACAGCCACACCAGCATGTTGCAGCGCCCGGCCAGCACGCTCTAGAAGTTTCACATTACCGGAGATATCCCAAGCGCTGGATATAACATACATGTCGTCTACACCAAGACCAATCAGAAGGATTGGTAGCACATTGTTTAGGGGGCCATGCGGTATTCCGATAGCAGAGCACGCGCCATATGCCGCAACCACCGCCAGGGCGACACAAAAGAGACCTACAATAGCTGGCCCTGGACGTCCTAAAGTCACAAGCACGTAAACAATGAGTGCCGCCCAACCACATGCTACCCATTTTAGATCGCCAACGATCGTTTTTGCACTAACATCACCGAAACTATAAGCTGCGTGAACATGGACATGGATGCCAGGTATGTCCTCTTCCTGGACGGCCTCCACCAGCGCCCTCTCCCACGCCAAGCCCTCCGTGTCCACCATCTCGCCCGTCCCGACGTCCACCACCAAAGTTTTATTCTTGTGGTTCTTCGTGATCCACGTGTGCAACGACGCCCGAGCCGAAACGATGCGTCCGTCGGAATCTCTTGTGATGCCGCCGAGGTAAGTATCGGGTTCGAATGGATAGCCATATACTTTACTCATGAAGGCTTTGTTAACATCGTCTAAAACTTGGCGGTCTGTGAGATTCATGATGACGTTCTCGTTGTACCCCCAAACTTCAAGTAAGCTGGTTTCATAGCACAACTGTTGTTTCAGTGATAATTCCTGA